ACTTCTTGCTAGGTGAAAAGAAACCCTTCCTTTTCTTCTTCAGCATCAAACCCCAATGCATTCACATCAGAATATAACCCAATAAATAAAGTAGGTTTGTATAGTTGTAAATGTCCTTCTTGTCAGTCAGCCAAAAGGGTTAGTGTAGATTTTACTTCTGTACTAGGAAAGAGGAGAAAAAGCCACAAGCTCCAGCAAATTTTAGGTGTGAAATTAACTTTAAAAAGGAAGCAGAGAAGCAGATTCTGCTTCAGAACTCAATTCATCGTTGGTCTGTGGTTTCTTTAGGTCTGTCAGGACAGTGATTTTGATAGGTAGCTTAGTTATGGAAACAGTACAGTAAGCTCTGGCAACTCAGTGTTTGTCAGGTGACCTGTGGCTTGATTTGGTCCAAAGGAAAGTGAAGCCTAAAACATCACAAAAAATGTTTTCATGGTATTTGTTATGGAAGAAACAGTACAAACTTGCTACCTACAAAATGCAGACTATGAAAAGGAGGCAAATGTTGCTGCCTGTGTGAGCTGATGTGTGCAGAGCTGTCTCTAGTGCAGCTCAGGATTTTTCCTCCTCCTCTGTCTACTCCACTACGAACCTAGGGAATTCACTCTTCTTTTTTTTTCCTAGCTTATAACCCCCTGCATTATTGGAGTAATGTATGGCTATCAGAGAAATACTTCTGTATTTTTCCATGTAGTTTAAGCAATGAGAACCTTAGAAGCAAAGACGACATTGCCCAGGACGAACAACGACCACATCGGGGAAGATACAGGAGCACTGCCACAGGCTGGGGGGTCTACACCTAATCCCACCCACCAGTGCTCATCCTAGAGTGGCTCCACAGTCACTCAGTGCCCATGCATGGAGCAGGGCTGTTCCCTCCTGTTCCAGAGTGAGGGAGTTCTCAGTTCAGCCTGCTTGGAAGTGCACAGATGTCATTGGATTGCTTGGATAAATGTGCTGGAGGCATCATGTTCCCAAATGCCTGTGCTGCAGCCTCCATGGAAAACTCCTCCATTTGTTGTCTCAGCTGGAAAGGTGATTTTTGGAGGGGGAGAGTATGGGGAAAGGGACATTTTATGCTCCCCCTCTCTCCCCCCAAACGAGGTTAGCTTATACTGCGTTCATGCGGATGTCTCCGAAGGGAATTTCTGTGGCTGTTTCTGGAGTAATGCTCTTCAGAATACGCTGTTGGAAAACAATCAATGTTAGAAATCCATTAGTTGCAGAGGTAATACATACCATGACAGACATTTAGAAAGAGATTTGTGATAAATTATGACTTTGCTTTGAGTTACTACTCTTGAACTACAGCTCAAGGATGGCTCAGACCTGTTATCTCATCATGATGAAGATGTAAAGTGCAATACAAGTACCCAGCAGGGGTTTTTTTTAATTATTTGTGGCATAATTGCAATCAAAGCTTGGCAGAAGTCATATTAATGCTTTAGGACTTTGCAGTTTACTTGGATACCCTGAGCCAACTGAACATATTTTTTGTGAATGGTATTTTTGGGAACTTACAAGAAATCCCAATGTTGTCACCACAGGCTGCTACAGATTTGGGGCAGAGAAGTGTTGCTAAGTGTAGGAGAGAAAAAGAAACTTGTTCTTACAGATACACCCAAAAGAACCAGCCTTTTGTTTCCTTATTTGTGTGACAATGTCTAGGGTGATTTCTGGGAAAAGCCTCCAGTTACCAGAGCCAAAAGTATTACTTGCTATAATATTTTATGAGAGTATGTCAGTGGCCTCAGTAAGACCTGGAGAGATTTGGGAATCACTCAGAATCATTCAGCTGGCCAGGAACAGGACAGCCAAGTCACCAGTCCCTAGAAAAATCTCAATATTTACAGGAGTCACCTCCTTCCCAACAGTCAAATAGAAGCAACAGAGCATTGGAGATACCTCCTTAAGTGTTCCTGGGGTGATGATCATCCTGTAAGCCATGTAGATTGGGATGAAAATGATGGAGGAGGTTCCTATGCAATAACCCACCACTGTGGTCCAGTAGGGATAATCGTAGTCGAAGAGCCGCAGCTCGGGAGGGCTGGACAGAAAGCTGCAAGTGACAAACTGGGAAAGAAAAGGAGGGAAGTTTGACTACATGGATTTTGTTGGCACAGACTTTGGGGAATCTTGTTTTCCAGCGTAGCATTGAAATGAATAAAAACCCGAGGATTCTAGGAGGATTAAACGTATGTTGACACTGAAAAAATCCTAAATCACGTTAGTATAGATTTACAAACACAAAACCAACAACAAACAGCAAAGGAAAGAACTCCCAAACCACTTTTGGGTATCTAGAGTTTTCTTCAGGAAGTTTCCAAGCTCCAGTGCTTTAGGCTGTAGCCCAACCAGTAACTGAAAGGAACTTGGTAAAAATTCTCTTACGTGTTAATCCTGGATTGGATGTAGTACTCTGGTGTCGGCTCCATCAATGCTGTTGGATCATTTTCCTGAGCACATCATTCATGACTGAAAAATTTCTTGTGAAACAACAAGTACTTCTAGTTGAACATTGCAGGAATAATATTGGTGACTATTCTTGGGAGGATCTCTGACTGGTTTTTTTTCCAGAGTTTTTTCAGAAGCTCAGCATTACCAGCCAAATTTCCTCAGAGAAATGACATCCTACCTTCTGGGCTGCCTGATTTTAGGTTAGTTTCCACAGGGAATACAAATAGCTCTGCCCGGTAACCACATGCCCAGAGCTCTGTGCCTCTGTTTATTTTGCTGGTTTAGGATCACAAAGAGGACAATACTGTAAAAATGACTGTGGTGTCACACTTTTATTTATAGCCTTTTCATCCCTTCTTTTCTAGGGGTAATAAAATGAAAGTCTGTTAATTATGCCTTGATCATGACAAGTGCTTTGAATTCACTCTCTAGGTCTTAAATCTCTATTCTGTGCTTCATAAAACTCCACTCTGACCTGCTCTGCTCCCACTAAGGCCACTCAGAATACAGGAGAGCAGGAACTAATTTTGAAGCAGGAAATGAACACTTTATGCTCAAATGTTATCAATAATGCTGCCAAGTCAAACACTGGGACAGGATTTCCAATTGTGAATTATAGATTTTTAAAGGTTGTAATTAACTGCTGTAAATTTCAAGCAGAATATTCTGAAGTTGTCAGTCAGTGGTTGCTGAGACAGTGTATTTACTTCTCTTGATTTGCCTCCCCAGACAGTTATTTTTCATCAGCTTTTATTGCTTCATGTTGCTGAGGTAAACATAAAG